CAACAAACTTCAATATATAAGCAAAACCACCATAAACAAAGGTTCACATAAAAAATTTCTAACACATTTAGCCATGGAACTCAACATAGATGATTTAGAATGCATCATCTGCAAAAAGATATGCAAAGATCAGAACACATTATCAGACCATTTATCCTTGCACGTACTAGATACATCCGCCGAAGCAACCCGGTTGTATCGAAACCAGAAGCGGAACCGATCACCACCTCGCACAATAGATTTCATCCCTGATTCATTGAGGCTCAAGCTTGATCCAGCCCCTCAGACTGCACCACTATCTCTTGAGCTCCCACTCGCCCCCAAATCCAACCAAACTTTGGTTGAACCTATGAATCTTCATGAAGAACCTAAAGAAAATCAAAAAGAAATTGAAGTTTCAACTACTCTTAGTTTGAGTTAGTTGTTTAATTAATTAACCATCTAGCTTTTATTATATATGTCGACATAAATTTACTATCTTATAGTTGTCTTTATCTAAAATAGTAAAATGTGTAGTTGATCCAGTAGATGTTAATTTCCTATATCAATCATATGAGTAAATTTCCGCTAATGTGTTCTTTCTTGTTAACATTTTATGTAAAAATCTAGATTGTTCTCCAGAAAAATATTTTGATCTCTCGTAAAATTTATGTTTTATTCATCTATAAAATTTAATTTCATTATTATTCATTATTCTTTTTATGGTATACATAATCGTTAATTTCTTTTACACTATATGAATACAAACTAAATGCTAAATGACACCTTGATTTAGAACTTGTTACTTCTAGTTCTATCCACAAAATGACATATAACATCGATTTACAGTCTTTTGTTTCCTTTTTTTAATAAAATTTTATTTTATTGGTTTTATTTAAAAAATCAAAAGAAAAATGAAACTATCAATTACTTTTTTGTAGATTTGTAAACAAGGACCCATAAAATCTAAAATGAAGAATAATAGCATTAAGTATATAAACTATGAATTTGAGTTACTTCCTAGTCCGTAACGTGAAGTGTGAACGGAAAAAGTGTTACATAAATGCTATGATGTATATCACCTTTTAATAGATATATAGTTGAACACTTTTCATATATATTTGTTGAATTTAATATATATATATATATATATATATATATATATATATATATATATATATATATATATATATATATATATATATATATATAGTTGAACCTTTTAATAGATATATATAGTTGAACACCTTTTAATAGTTGGTCTACTATTATTTTCTTATGATTCAAGACGTGAGTGACTTGTGTACAAATTACTGTTGCAAAAAGTCAAATTTTAAGGATTCATATAAAATTATAAGATTGTCAAAATTTCTAATTATGTAATTTGATTCTTGAATGCTTTCGATGACCATTTTCAACATCTCATAAACTTACAATTTTGTTTTATGAAGAGAGAACATTACAATTGTTTTTGCTTCGGTAATAATGACAAGTTTTGATCTAATGAAATATAACCTTTTTCTTTTTGTTTTTCTAATATTAATATGGAGTTTTAATTGGTTAACGATCATACTAAACAAAAGTTTTCATTTTTTTATAAAAAAAAAGTCAATGTATTCATCATTTCAAGGTTACATGGAAAAACTTTATTTGTCAATTTTAAGCTTCAAAATATCATATTTGTCAATCTTAATTTTTAAATATTGTATATATTTTTAATAAAATTTTAAAATATCAAAGTTGATTAATTTCTTATTTTTAACACTTTTAAATATCTTTCAAATGTGTCAATATTTGCACCAATTGTTCTTTACAAACATATCATAATTATAATGTTATAAGTGGGCAATGTTGGCTCGGCAAAGAATTTCCAAAAAACCAATGGTGTTCCTATGGGTTAAACATAGAAGTAAATATGGTTGGATAGCGAATTGGCACGATTGGTGTGTTGACATGTTTCATTGTATTTAAACTTTTCTTAGTTTTACTGTATTTTTATTTTGCTTGTCTACTTCTAGTTTTGCGCCTTATTTTTCTTAATATATATTTGCCGGAAAAAACACAAAAATTCCAAAATGTAATAAATTCATATTATTATTGTAGACATTTTCTGGAAAACTAAACAAATGTACACCAATAATACAATATTGAATTACCTTTTTAAGATTTAAATCAGTAACAGTTACTAATCTCATCTTTATTTAATTGATATCTAAAATCATATCAATGACTTAAAAGAGCACATTGATAACACAAATCTCTTTAATTTCGGTGGGTTGAATGCCAATTTTGTGGAGAAAAATGAAAATGATGATCGATCGATTTTCTATCTCAATGAAAATTTTTGAGATTTTTTTTTTGAGAAAATATCAATGCATTTTTAAAAATAAATTATCTTTGATAAAATTAGGGATTATCCTAAAAGGTTATAACACTCAATTAATTAAAATAAAGATTTACAATGTTTATAAATATTTTAAAATGTTAAAAATAAAGATTAAGGAAATTTTAATATTTTAAAAGCTTATAAAGGGTATATATGATATTTAGGATTTAGGTTTGACGAATAATGTATTTTGAAGAATATATACCTATCACTAGGTTATAACTCGTAAAATCCATAGATGATAATTTTAAATAGAACTGGAAAAATATTATACAATAAAATAATTTATCATTAATTTCTAAAAATTTATGAATTGTAATATTGTAATTTTTTTAGTCACTTTGTAAGTATTTAATTAAAAATGAATATTTTTAAAATAATTGAATGGAGATTGAAGTTAATAAATTAACTAATGTATAAATGTTTAGGGATGAAAGTGGGTCCAAACCCGGACCCGATGGACCCGGACCCGGAAAACCCGGAACCGGTTAACGGGATTTTATAGAACCGGAAACCGGACCGGTATATAGGAACCGGTTCCGGTTCGGTTCCGGGTATGGTTCCGGGTAAAGTGGGTCTAGAACCGGAAAACCCGGAAACATCAAAATGGGTAGGTTGGAACCGGATAAAGTGGGTTTAGACCCGAAAAAATCGGAATTTTTGGTAATTACTTACAACTTAGTGGGTTGAACTTTGAAAATTTTCATATTGATATCTCCACTTTGGGGGGCTGTAACTTATTGAATACGAAACCACAATTAACAAAATTAGAGTCCAAAATCATGTACAAAGTCTAAAATACACTCTGGAAAAACCCGCATGTCAATCCGAATTTAAAACGAATGAGATATACATGTGTTAATATTTTCACATAATACAAAGTACAAAAACATTTTCAGTTTTGATATCCCGACTTCGGAGGACTGTAAATCATTGAATGTTAAACCAAAAATGACAAAATTATAGTCTAAACTCATGCACAAACTGTAAACTAGAAGTTGAAAAAAAAAACCACATGTCAATCCGACTTCAAACGAATTAGATATGCATGCTTTAAAACTTTCACCGAATACAAAAAAACTAAAAAACTAAAAACTTTCAGCTTTGGTATCTCAACTTTTGAGGACTGTAAGTCAATGAATATAAAACTAAAAATGAAAAATTTATAGTCTAGAATCACGTACAAACTCTAAACTACATGTTGGAAAAAACCGTATGTCAATTGGAGTTGAAACGAATAAGATATACATTTTGTAAACGTTTCACAAAAAGTGGTTCCGGCCCTAAAAGTGGTTCCGGTTCCAAAAACCGGTTCCGGATTTTAGACCCGGTTTACCCGGACCCAATGGACCCAAACCCGGATTACCCGGAACCCGGATAAAGCCAATTTTTAAACCCGGAACCGAACCCGGTTCTATATATTCCGGTTCTAACGGGTCCGGTTCCGGTCCGGTTTTCCGGTTCTAAATCTCATCCCTATAAATGTTTATAAAATAAAATTAACAATTAATAGCATGAATGCATAAAGTGTGAAACGTGGATGCAAACATACACAAATTAGTCCAGAATAACATTTAACAAAAATAAGAGAAAGTATAATTTTTTTTTAAAACAATTACCATTTTTGACATTTTGGTCAATTTGATAATTTTAACTCATACAAAGTTAATATGAAGCAAAGGTAATATGAAGCCACAGTAAAGTTATTAAAATGCCCTTGATCTGCATATGTTAACAAACATGTTATCATGTTTAAGAAAGAATAAGAAAATGATAAAGGAAATAAAAAAGAAAAAAATAATATACATTGCTATTTACTACAAGCTTAAAATTAAAAAAAAAAACAAATAGAAAAAACAAAAGTTTCATATTATTTACTCAATTGTTTACACACATAGTTCTTAAATGTACATTTATTTCATTAGTTTTAAATTGTATTTTACGGAAAAAAAATTCTATACTTATTTATGACATTAATTACACACTTATCATATAATTTTTAATTGTATTTTATAAACAAAAATAAATAATTCTATACATATTTATGACATTAATTACACAGTTGTTATAGAATGAGTTCCGTATTACTATAGAGCATATAAAAGGTATTGTTGTCACATGACACATAAGACATCCGAAACTAAAAATATATAATTGTTTACACTATCATTCTTGTAAACGAGTATTTAGACAACTTTCTATGAATATGATATCTATTACCAAACGCTTAAAATCACGATTTCCTAAATTTGAATTTATAATTTTTTTTAGATGTATTTACTTAGTTTAACGATATCAGATGTTTCTCTTCCTTTTGGTTCAGTTCTTAAATCTCATTCCTCGTACATTCTACTGCTTGTGAGCCGAACATTTCTTAAATGTAACAACAAATATTCTACCATCTAATAACTATAAATTAAAGAATGCAAACGTAATCATATATGCATTCAAATTCTACATTTACTTGACTATCTTTGAAATTTACACCTGTCACACCACAAGCTAAATTCAACCATGCATTGTTGTGCCACCTCTACATGGGCCCCATCATACACTCATTCCCAACAAACTTCTATATATAAGAAAAACCACCATAAACAAAGGTTCACATGAAAATTTTCTAACACATTTAGCCATGGAACTCAACATAGATGATTTAGAATGCATCATCTGCAAAAAGATATGCAAAGATCAGAACACGTTGTCAGACCATTTATCCTTGCACGTACTAGATACATCCGCTGAAGCAACTCGTGCGTATCGAAACCAGAAGCGAAACCGGTCACCACCTCGCACAATAGATTTCTTCCCTGATCCATTGAGGCTCAAGCTTGATCCAGCCCCTCAGACTGCACCACCATCTCTTGAGCTCCCACTCGCCCCCAAATCCAACCAAGCTTTGGTTGAACCTATGAATGTTCATCAAGAACCTAAAGAAAATCAAAAAGAAAGTGAAGTTTCAACTACTCTTAGTTTGAGTTAGCTATTTAATTAATTAACCATCTAGCTTTAATTATATATGTCAACATAAATTTACTATCTTTTAGTTGTCTTTATCTAAATAGTAAAATGTGTGGTTGATCTAGTAGATGTTAATTTCCTATATCAATCATATGACTAAATTTCCGCTTCTACATGTGTTCTTTCTTGTTAACATTTTATGTCAAAATCCAGATTGTTCTCCATAAAAATGTTTTGATCTCTCGTAAAGTTTAGGTTTTATTCATCTGTAAATTTAATTTCATTGTTATTCATTATCCTTTTTATGGTATACATAATCGTTAATTTCTTTTACACCATATGAATACAAAATAAATGCTAAATGACACCTTGATTTAGTACTTGTTAGTTCTAGTTCTAGCCACAAAATGATATATAACATCGATTTACAGTCTTTTGTGTCCTTTTTTTTAATAAAATTTTATTTTATTGGTTTTATTTAAAAAATACAAAGGAGAATGAAACTATCTCTTACTTTTTTTGTAGATTTATAAACAAGGACCCATAAAATCTAAAATGAAGAATAATAGTATAAAGTATAAACTATGAACTTGAGTTACTTCCTAATCCGTAATGTGAAGTGTGAACGGAAAAAGTGATACATAAATGCTATGATGTATATCACCTTTTAATAGATATATACTTGAACACTTGTCATATGTATTTGTTGAATTTAATATATATTTCTCTTACGTTTCTATATATATATATATATATATATATATATATATATATATATATATATATATATATATATATATATATATATATTCTAGAATTTTCTTATGATTAAAGGCGTGAGTGACTTGCGTACAAATTATTGTTGCAAAAAGTCAAATTTTAAGGATTCATATAAAATTAAAAGATTGTCAAAATTTCTAATTATGTAATTTGATTCTTGAATGCTTTGTTGACCATTTACAACATCTCATAAACTTACAATTTTGTTTTATGAAGAGAGAGCACATTACAATTGTTTTTGCTTTGGTAATAATGCCAAGTTTTGATCTAATGAAATATACCATTTTTCTTTTTGTTTTTCTAATAATAATATTGAGTTTTCATTGGTTATCGATCGTACTAAACAAAAGTTTACATATTGTTGCTCAGAATATTTTTAAAAAAAGGATCAATGTTTTCATCATTTAAAGGTTACTTGAAAGATTTTTATATGTTAATTTTAAACTTCAAAATATCATATTTGTCGATCTTAATTTTTAAATATTGTATATATTTTTAATTAAATTTTAAAATATCAAAGTTGATCAATTTCTTATTTTTAACATTTTCAAATATTTTTCAAATGCGTCAATATTTGCACCAATTGTTCTTTACAAACATATCATAATTATAATGTTATAAGTCGGCAATGTTGGCTCGGCACAAAGAATTTCCAAAAAACCAATGGTGTTCCTATGGGTTAAACATAGAAGTAAATATGGTTGGATAGCGAATTGGAACGATTGGTGTGTTGACATGTTTCACTGTATTTAAACTTTTCTTAGTTTCACTGTATTTATATTTTTCTCTTCTAACTTCTAGTTTTGTGCCTTATTTTTCTTAATATATATTTGCCGGAAAAAACAAAAAATTTCCAAAATGTAATAAATTCATATCATTATTGTAGACCTTTTCTGGAAGACTAAACAAATGTACACCAATAATACAATATTGAATTACCTTTTTAAGATTTAAATCAGTAACAGTTAGTAATCTCATCTTTATTTAATTGATATCTAAAATCATATCACCGAGTTAAAAGAGCACATTGATAACACAAATCTCTTTAATTTCGGTGGGTTGAATGCCAATTTTGTGGAGAAAAATGAAAATGATGATCGATCGATTTTCTATCTCAATGAAAATTTTAAGATTTTTTTTTTTTGAGAAAATATCAATGCATTTTTAAAAATAAATTATCTTTGATAAAATTAGGGATTATCCTAAAAGGTTATAACATTCAATTAATTAAAATAAAGACTTAGAATGTTTATAAATATTTTAAAATGTTAAAAATAAAGATTAAGGAAATTTTAATATTTTAAAAGCTTATAAAGGGTATATATGATATTTAGGATTTAGGTTTGACAAATAATGTATTTTGAAGAATATATACCTATCACTAGGTTATAACTCGTGAAATCCATGCATGATAATTTTAAATAGAACTGGAAAAATACTGTACAATAAAATAATTTATCATTAATTTCTAAAAATTTATGAATTGTAATATTGTATTTTTTTAGTCACTTTGTAAGTATTTAATTAAAAATGAATATTTTTAAAATAATTGAATGGAGATTGAAGTTAATAAATTAACTAATGTATAAATGTTTATAAAATAAAATTAACAGTTAATAGCATGAATGCAAAAAGTGTGAAACGTGAATGCAAAAATACACAAATTAGTCCAGAATAACATTTAACAAAAATAAAAGAAAGTACAATTTTTTAAAAACAATTACCATTTTTGACATTTTGGTCAATCTGATAATTTTAACTCATACAAAGTTAATATGAAGCAAAGGTAATATGAAGCGGCAGTAAAGTTATTAAAATGCCCTTGATCTGCATATGTTAACAAACATGTTATCCTGTTTAAGAAAGAATCAGAAAATGATAAAGGAAATAAAAAAGAAAAAAATAATGTAAATTGTTATTTACTACAAGCTTAAAATTTAAAAAAAAAAAAACAAATAGAAAAAACAAAAGTTTCCTATTATTTACTCAATTGTTTATACACATAGTTCTTAAATGTACATTTATTTCATTAGTTTTAAATTGTATGTTACGAAGAAAAAAATAATAATTCTATACTTATTTATGACATTAATTACACACTTTTCATAGAATTTTTAATTGTATTTTATAAACAAAAATAAATAATTCTATACATATTTATGACATTAATTACACAGTTGTTATAGAATGAGTTCGGTATTATTATAAAAGATATAAAAGGTATTGTTGTCACATGATACATAAGACATCCGAAACTAAAAATATATAATTGTTTACACTATCATTCTTGTAAACGAGTATTTAGACAACTTTCTATGAATATGATATCTATTACCAAACGCTTAAAATCACGATTTCCTAAATTTGAATTTATAATTTTTTTTGATGTATTTACTTAGTCTAACGATATCATATGTTTCTCTTCCTTTTGGTTCAGTTCTTAAATCTCATTCCTCGTACATTCTACTGCTTGTGAGCCAAACATTTCTTAAATGTAACAACAAATATTCTACCATCTAATAACTATAAATTAAAGAATGCAAACGTAATCATATATGCATTCAAATTCTACATTTACTTGATTATCTTTGAAATTTACACCTGTCATACCACAACTTAAATTCAACCATGCATTGTTGTGCCACCTCTACATGGGCCCCATCATACACTCCCCCCAACAAACTTCTATATATAAGAAAAATCACCATAAACAAAGGTTCACATAAAAAATTTCTAACACATTTAGCCATGGAACTCAACATAGATGATTTAGAATGCATCGTCTGCAAAAAGATATGCAAAGATCAGAACACGTTGTCAAACCATTTGTCCTTGCACGTACTAGATACATCCGACGAAGCAACCCGGTCGTATCAAAACCAGAAGCGGAACCGGTCACCACCTCGCACAATAGATTTCTTCCCTAATCCATTGAGGCTCATGCTTGATCCAGCCCCTCAGACTACACCACCATCTCTTGAGCTCCCACTCACCCCCAAATCCAACCAAGCTTTGGTTGAACCTATGAATGTTCATGAAGAACCTAAAGAAAATCAAAAAGAAAGTGAAGTTTCAACTACTCTTAGTTTGAGTTAGCTATTTAATTAATTAACCATCTAGCTTTTATTATATATGTCGACATAAATTTTCTATCTTTTAGTTGTCTTTATCTAAAATAATACAATGTGTGGTTGATCTAGTAGATGTTAATTTCCTATATCAATCATATGACTGAATTTCCGCTTGTAAATGTGTTCTTTCTTGTTAACATTTTATGTCAAAATCTTGATTGTTCTCCAGAAAAATGTTTTGATCTCTCGTAAAGTTTAGGTTTTAGTCATCTGTAAAATTTAATTTCATTGTTATTCATTATTCTTTTTATGGTATACATAATCGTTAATTTCTTTTACACCATATGAATACAAAATAAATGTTGAATGACACCTTGATTTAGGACTTGTTAGTTCTGTTTCTAGCCACAAAAGACATATAACATCGATTTACAGTCTTTTGTTTCCTTTTTTTAATAAAATTTTATTTTATTGGTTTTATTGAAAAAATACAAAGAAAAAAGAAACTATCTCTTACTTTTTTTGTAGATCTATAAACAAGGACCCATAAAATCTAAAATGAAAAATAATAGTATAAAGTATAAACTATGAACTTGAGTTACTTCCTAGTCCGTAACGTGAAGTGTGAACGGAAAAAATGTTACATAAATGCTATGATGTATATCACTTTTTTATAGATATATACTTGAACACTTGTCATATGTATTTGTTGAATTTAATATATATTCTCTTAAGTTCTATATAGATGGTCTACTAGAATTTTCTTATGATTCAAGTTTTGATCTGATGAAATATAATTTTTTTTTTTTTGTTTTTCTAATATTAATAAGGAGTTTTCGTTGGTTAACGATCATACTAAACAAAAGTTTATATTTTGTTGCTTAGAATGTTTATAGAAAGAGGGCCAATGTTATAATCCATTTCAAGGTTCATTATGGGTAAAATTTTAAAATATCATATTTGTGAAGTATATCTTAAATAAAATTTTAAAATATCAAATTTGATCAATTTCTTACTTTTAACATTTTTAAATATTTTATAATGATTTTAAATTTTTATTTTTATTTTTTTGAATATTTTATAATGATTTTAAAATTTTATTTATTATTAATTGACTACTAAACTCTCTCTCTCTCTCTCTCTCTCTCTCTCTCTCTCTCTCTCTCTCTCT